TCTGAGAGGCAAATAATTGTTAGAGTAAAGGTAACTTTAATGCGGCGGCAACTTCCGGATAAAGGCCGTCGGTCCTGATTCCTGTTCGCGGGGTAGGTTTGCGTCACGAATTCCCGCAGACGAATACGGCTGAAATATGTGCACATCCATAGTTTTGATCAAAAACATAATTGCTGGGATCTGACATGTTACTGGGTTCTCCTTAGCGGGAATTCTTTATTGTTTTGATTGGTAAAACTTGGGGTAAAAACACTAAAAAAATTAGCGTGGCTACGAGAAACGCACGCGGTCCGTATACTTCTGGGGTAAGTGTACCTCAAACTAACGCTTAAAATGCAAAAAATACGCATAGAAATATATATTTACCTGAAAGATTCTTGAAACTATATATTTCTTCACTAGAATATCGATGTGTGGTTGTGGAAAATAACGTTTTAGCGCTTATATCCTAACAAAGAAAAGTTGTTTACACGCGCGTCGGCTCACTCAATCTTACCGCTGGCGCTGCAGCGGCCGACGCAACAACCAATCAGAGACGCGAAATGTGGACATGTGACGCAGGTTTTGCATACAGTCAAAACAATGCAGCTAGCTCAGCAGGCCGTGCGCGGTGCATGAGACACATTTTTGTGTCGTATTTCAAGAGATAAATGCCTGGACATAAACTTTTCTTATGTTTGAAAATATATCTAACAAGTTTATCTTTGAATAGCTGAGTGAAATCAAACATATCGATGTCTGGTCCTTCGGTCCTACAAGAAATACGGTATCATTTTTTTTTCTTGGGACAGTCTCCTCACGGGCTTAGGCCGACCCCAGCGGGAAGAGGGCGTCAAAGGACGGCTAGACGGCCGCCTGGCAGAAACACTGGTTTGTATTCATACTTGGTAGGTGGGTAGGGTAGAAATGATTAGATTTTGGGCCCCCTGGTGGCTTGTTATGGTACTGCAGCAGAACTTCCGGTTTTGATATCTCATGATCTGGACATGCTAGGGTGACGAAATTTGGATGGCAGGTAGCTCTAGTGTTGGGGAAGAAGTGGCATAATTTTGGGCCCCCTAGCGCTTTGCTCTGGAACTGCAGGGGCGTTTCTTTAAAAAATATTCAAAAGAGGATAACTCAAGAACCAGTTGACGGATCGTCGTGATTTTTGGTATAAAAGACAATTGACAATTTGATATTAATAGGCAATTATGCAAATCTGGTTGTAATTTGCATAATTTATGACAAAATTGTATAAATCAGCTGCATTACATCATATTTAAGCTTGTGACATATGTAATTGAGAACAAGAGAAACATGTAGATTGTGCAAATTAACACTTAATTTGCATAATTAATGAGCAAAATGTTATAATTCCATAATGGTAACTGCCTGGAATTTCATACTTGGGGTATTTGAAAGTTAAGTGAAGGTGAATACAATTAAACATAACTTATTCAAATAAGGACCTCATTTGCATAATTTCTGAGGAAAAGATAGAATGGCTTTCTATGTTAAGATAAGGCTGTATAATTTTTGGTGGAGAATTTGATCAACTGATGTAATTCAAGCAAATGAGGATCCTACTCTCACCTCTCGAATAAACGTACCGGTACGTTTATTTTTTTTTGCCTCAAGATCCGTCCGGTACGTTCTTATTTTAGACGGTACGTTTATTTCTTTTTTTCATTATCGGAAAAGTTCCAGGAAAATTTGTGGTCCTGCACGTAAAATGACAAAAAAAGACTGAAGTACACACCACTTTTCTCAGCCGACCCAACTATTTTTTTTTTAAATCAGGGCAATTCTAACAACATATGACATGTACCTCCCTTTTAGTAGTTTTACATGTAAATTAAACTTGGGAACACGTATTGTGTCGGAAATATGAAGTATAACGGGCGTTTTTATTTATAGAAAAATCGGCGGAACTCGCAACATTTTCACGCACCTTGCACACACATCTCACTCAACACTCCTTGCTCAAAACGATCTTTTCCTCGGGAATATGTTAAAATAATACCACGTAACAATGTATTCTAGCCATTACAAACTGTAATACTCCCAAAGAGTCGAAAATCCTACCACAAACATGAAAATTTAGCACTGGAAAAAGTCCATTCTCAATGCAGGCTCCTCAATGAAGTAAAACACGTAAACACGATCGGCAGAGCTCACTTCTAGTAGGGGGGTGCAATTTTTTACTTGATATATATAAAACTCTTTGTCAAAAATATACATATGCATGTTGCATTCAACAAAGCTAATCAGTATTTAAAAGACCACAAACAGGAGTAAAATTGCAGTCTAACGGATGAACTATCACAAAGAAATATTTTAAAGAAAATACTTCCCCCTGCAAAAGAATGTCTCAGTTTTCCAAGAACTCCTGTTCCAAACTTGAAGCCCCGCCCCTACCATTTGCATACTTCAGTGGGCACTTCAAAGACAAGCACATGTAACATAAGACCCTTGACTGAGGTTGTGAAATGCTGTGTGTTACAAGAGGGTCTGCATGGGGGGGTCCTGGCAACGGTTAACGGTAAATTCAGCAGGGCCGATAACGCTTAACGGTAAATTCAGGACGGTCGGCAACGCTTAACGGTAAATTGACAGGCTTTTTTTCGAGCTGCACTGGATTTGGTATCTCGCTTTGTGAGAAAAGGTGATCACTGACAAAATTACTACGAATATCTTACATGTAATGAAGCACTCATTAAAGGTATGTGTTCCCTGTGTTTCCCACCTGCTCTGGTCCCCGAGTGCGTCCACAAATAAAGGGGAGTCTGAGTCGACGTCGGCCAGGGCTCTACCCAGCTTGATTTTTTTCCGCCCGCCCAGATTTTGAGAGTGGAGCGCCAAAGGCGCTCGCAATCTGAGGGGTTCGAGGGATGCTCCCCCGGAAAATTTAGGATTTTTAAGCCTTCAAAAATGCAATTTCCCGCATTTTCAGAGGCAAATCATAGTGTTGAGAGTGTTTGTCGGTCCTTCTGATGTTTTCATATTTTTACTCAAGATTTTTGTTAATTTTGTCTGTCATGGTTGACAGATTCGTTAAAAAAAATCCTGTAACTCTCCGCAAAGTTCCGGTAATTGACGGAAAACTGGTGCTGGCGCGAGTCGAGCGGCAAATGCGCGAGCAATGTGGGGGGGGGGGCGGTCGGAAATTTTGTATTTTTAAACCTTCAATGACGCATTTTCCTGCACTTTGAAAGGCAAAATTAGGCGTAACGAAGAATTATTCATTAACGCTTAACGCTGAATTTAGGATGACAACGTTTTACGTTGAATTAAAACGACCAATAACGCTTCACGATGAATATACCGATAATGCTTAACGTTGAATTAGAGCGACTCGGCAACGATTAACGGTAAATTAAAATAGCCCATAATGGTTAACGAAAAAGGGCATGCAGGCCCTCTTACAATGTTGCCATCTGTTTGATCTGATGATTATGTTGTAGCATTGATCATTATTTTTTATAGAAGTGACTATAAAGAGAAATATGCATTGCATAAATGGAAATTTGGGAAAGATAAAAGGAATAATTATGTTGAAATATTTGTAGATGATTATCAATTCTTTTGCCAATGGCTTTTACATATTAGCATCACAATTTGTATAGAGCATATGTTAAGCATTTGTTCAACTTCAAGCTCTAAATGAAATCTTACTGATAATTATCAAGCTTTAGAAAAATCAAGAACTCTAATTGAGTTATTTCAAAACTTGATATTACTGTTCCATTCGGGTGATTTGAAGTGAATCACCAACTCCATACAGTAGTGTTTGTACCATCGCACACCGGGGCATGCCCCTACTCTTTTTCGAAAGGTGTGGTGGGATCTTTAACGTGCGTGGGGTGTGGCTCTCCCCAAACACGGGACCTCCATTTAACGTCCTATCCGAGGGACGTCCCTAGCCGAAGCTAGGTACTCATTTCCACCTGAGTGAAGTGAGGAAAGTCGTGTAAAGTGCCTTTCCCAAGGGCACAAGATCGGTGACAAGGTGGGGTTCGAACCCACGACCTCTGGGGTGTGAGCCCACACATGGTAATTACATCATCACCCGGACGGAGGCGTGGCGAACCCCGTCTTGTATTAAGCTAACGAAAGGGTATGCCACCTCGTAAGGGGCGGTATAACCCCGACCAATACGGTCGGCCGATGATAATGATGATGATTACTGTTCCTGTTTGATATAGCATGCATTGCAATGATTAACAACAAATTGTATGAAGGCAGAGCTAGAATATTGATGGATGACATAATCATAGATATATTACACTGCAAGTGACATATACTCCTCAAAAACCTGCAACAATACAGGCTGTTAATTTGGTAATTTTCCAGGGGGTACATTTATTCTCAATCTGGGGGTATTTATTAGGTTTTGAAGGGTATCATATTTAAGGAGGTATGTTTATTCAGGACCTGTCAACAATTGTAAGTGACATGTAGACCCATGCATACACTGTGAGAACACATTTTTGGAGCATAGACGTTGCTAACATGTCAGTTTTCAGGGTACTTTTATTACAGGGGGTACTTTTATTAGATTTTGAAGATTTGTCCGGGGGGTACTTTTATTCCAGGGGGTACTTTTATTCGAGAGGTGAGAGTATTTGCATAATCAGGGGAATAATCTTTACTTTGTCAGTCATAAAGATTAACATCATTTGGCGAAGGTATGAGATCGTGGAACTCTAGTTTTATATGGTTCACCCGAAGAAATTTTATTTTTTGTGCACTCAATGTTTTTGGTTGGGTGCACCAGTGCACCTATTCCCAAAAGAATTTCGCGCCCTGTGTTTGATACTTGTTTCGGGACATTTTAAATAGGAACAAAGGGCTTTCAGAAGATAGAGATAATTTTCGGAACATAATTTAAAGCTTTCGAACATAGGGGTTTCGGAACGTAGTGAGTAAACTTCAGCACTCTACGTCCAGTGTTGACGAAATTATGGAACACCCGTGCGGAAGGCGTGGCTTTCCTAAACCTGCGGAAACAACCTTACCTTTGCCGAGTGTAAACTCGAACTTGTCGTCCCTGTCTCGGCTTGAGTCGAACTTAGTGCCATCCGTCAGGGTGCCCACATAATGCACGGACACTTTGTCTTCAGCCAGAGGCCTGTCTTCCCCTTCGCCTTGTCGGAGGATCTTCTTCAGCACCCCTCCATCCTTATTCGGAGTGATGTCGTCCCCTCCTGTGGACGTGACAGACGTGGCTGCCTGGTCTGAAGAATTCTCTGCCATTACGTTACTTAACTGTGCACAAGGTAGCTCTCTTCTGAATCTGAGGGTAGGTTTCCGTCACATGTGCTCTGCTGGAACGCTTTTAGAATTTACAGTATCGCACCAGTGTTTCTTTTAAACGTGTGCTTCCTGGAAGCTTCTAGAAAGTGCGGTATCACACCGGTGTTTTCATGAAACGTTCCTCTGCCTGCTTTATACATGTATTTATGTCCTACCTGGGCCGCGATTACGTTCGATACGGGTGTTCCGGCCCGTGTTTCATTTTGCATTGAAAGGAGTGTTTTCTTGGGTGGGTATGACATAAATAAAATACAACACGGTGTATTCCGCATCACCCTCGGTCCCAGCCCTCCCGCGGATCGGATCTCCCTCCGGCCTTCGGGCGATCCGACGCGCGGTCGGGCTGGTACCTCAGGCGATACGGAAGACCCCGTGTTGTATATTCTATATTTATATCATACCCGGGCCGCGATAACGTTCGATAACGGGTTCCAGACCGGGCCGTACTTTACGGTACGGCCCGGTCCGGAACCCGTTATGGAACGCTTCCCTGGCTTCCATAAAATGATTCGAACGCGTTTCGCCCTACCCGCTTGTGCCCCTTTCGAAAATTCGAATACAGACGTTGGAACCATTCGACAATGGGGTTGAACAGCATCCTTCCGTACGGCGCGGCAGGTAATCGGAGTTGGAAATGTCAGATAAACAATGTAAGAATTGGTGTATTTGGGGTGAAAATAATGCAAGTACCAAAGTAACGGGTTCCTTTCTCAGCACTCGGTATACAGAGTTGAGGCGGCTTCCGTCCTAGATCTTCAGTGCCGAAGTTACGTCAACACTTGGTGTCCAGTGTCGGCGGCTTCAGCACTGGAAACTCGGAATCGGCAAATCAAACCTTGTATTTTCGAGATCATACCGCCTGGGTAACAAAGTTTAATCGGGACAACAACGTTATCGGCAGGACAGGACTGCAAGGCCTCTTGTCTTACATTTTCACAGACAAAGACTTGGCCTAAGATACTGTTTTGTACGCCGCGCGGCCGACATAAGCTCCAGAAGCCCAGTGCCGAAATGGTTTAACTCGGCTCGGTAGTTACTGTATTTTGCTCCAACTATTCAAAGACACAGAATTTCAGAAAACAATTTACAAATGTATCTTTTGAACAAGTTTGATAAACATCTTTTTCAACCATGTCTTGCTAAAGCGCGGGTTGTGGGTGTGGCCGAAATGCTGCCCGCTAGGCTGGCTTGGATGGGAAATTGAGGTTCCGGGGGTGCCACCCACCCCCACTACCCACAAATAGCCCACCCACAGCAGTAAATATAAATTACTTAAATTTGTTAGGGACCAAACCCCCATGCACACCCTTTGGGTCCACAGGAGGCACTTCGGATATCGCCATGCCTGTGTTGGCTAGCCGACCTTTTCCGCTAACCCAACACCATTTACCATACCGTACAGGCCTGGTACCGTCCCGTTACATTGACCGGTTACTACTTTTTCCACCTACCCCTTGGTAACCCGGAAGCAGATCACCGGAAGCAGATCGGATTAGAAGGACGGCATTGGCATTTGGTCAACTTTTGATTTGAAAGGTTGTCATCTTCCAACACAATTTGACTCTTGAAAGTCTTGTGTAAACTTCCCTTACTTGGAGGATACATTCGGTAGATCCATTTGACACGCCGTGTGTTTACTGATGACGTCTAATGTTTTCTGATGGCGCTCGTGACTGTTCATATCCACAGAACATTACCGGGTTATAATATGGGACTGGGATCTCTGCAGACTTAAATTGCGATCAGTCCCCGCATTTGAAATTCAATGACAAATTTTGCTAGCATGGCGCTGTCGGCGTATGAAGACATTTCGGAGGAAGACGAGTGTGATCTGCAGGACTGGCAACTCCCGCTGGCCTACATGAAGAAGCGACATGTGGAGAGAGTCGAGGGGAGTCGAGCGGTCACACAGACGTGGAGAATGAAAGAAAGGGTGAATATTTTTTTTACCTTATGCGTTATGTCTAACATAATTAGTTGTTAGCATTTAAGACCATACGACACCAATAACCCTGAAATGCAACAGTTCCTGAAAATAGTCAAACGTGATAGGTATAACTTATTTAACTCAATTTGTTCAATGAACAAAAATGCTTGGACCAAAAGTACACTCTTCTGTTAAGTGGCATAGAATCTCGCAAATCATCCTTCCAGTTCTTGATTCCTTCAGCCAGTTAATCCAGTTAACGTTATTTTGTCAATGAGTTATGGTGATCATGGCAGCCGATTCAGAGCCTTGTGGTTGTTGTTGTCCATATTAAATACTAGTATCTTGCTAGAACCAAGGAGGTTGAAAATCAAAAGGAGACAGGACAGGTTTACTGCCCTGTCATTCAACAGTTTCCCATCCCCAGGATGCAATGCGAAATAAACAGGGGGTAACCTTGTCAGTCGTATGAGATCGTGGAACTCTAGTTACTTTATATTCTGGGTTAGTTGAGGCTAACTTCTTTGTGTACAACAGACTGTAACTGTTAGTAGTGTTACATACTTTTTCACCTCATTTGATATGGGAGGAAATCTGAATTGGCAATGTCATTTCTGATGACTTTCATGTACGTGGATATTGTACACCAAAATTTAAGTGGTTTAGGCCTAATTAAAGCAAAACTTGGTTTTCCAACTTTCTGTTCAGAGTTCCTTAAAATCGCAATCCTCTTTTTCTTTGAATGGAATGCAGCTGCAACAAGTAAAATCTGAGATTTTATACCTCCGGGCTTTTTATTGTATATTTCTATATGTTGTTTGTTATGTATAGTTGATGGTGTTGAATTTTATGTGTTTAGCGTTCCTGGTTGTGTTAACACAGGTCAACATTTTCATCTGCAGCCCATAACATGTACCCATGAACTTATGAAATTCTATTTAATCTGCCGCAATGAACTCGTAATGAAACTCAGAATGACAACCGGAACCGTTAAATCAGACGTTAAAAATAACGGCTGAAGTAGCAAGCCATCCTTATTGTCACTTCCTCCATTTTCCGCCTATTCTTCGTATAAATCGGGGAAGTAAAGGTCTGAATCCTCGGTAAAAATGCACGCCGAGAACGTCTGAGACCGTATACCGCGGTATTTGTAAGTTAATAGTCGTAATATATGCCGAAAACATCCAAAACAAAGATTGCGCAAGAGTACGTTGACCCCTGACCCATTGACCAACCCGGAAGTTGGCTGCTGCCGATCACGCGTCCTGTGAACGCGTACTAAAAATACCCTCCAAACAACATTTGTTGCGCCTCGCATACAGAAGATGTATGTGCACAACAACAATTGTTGCGTGCCGCAAGACTAAGAATTTATTGAGACCCGTCACCCCTCTGTGCGACTGTGGACGAGACCGACTATATCTGACACACGCAAAAGATCGACGGTCGCGACCCACTTTCACACTCAAGGGGTGTTCCGGGGCCATCAAAAGGCTCCATTTTCACGCCCGAAAACACATATACAATAAAAACAAAAGAACGTGCATCATCTGCAGCCCGATAGCAAAACATATACCGAGTCTCAAAAGAATCCGTCCACTCAAACGCGAGGAATCGCTGCGAACGTGAAATTCTAAAACTCTCACAAAGCCCTTCCGCGGAAGGATGTCTCCTCCCCCGGAGGCAATAATAGCTTAATAACTACTTTATTCATGTTATCTACGGTTCTGTCGCTGTTGAACTGTGCTGTGTGGCATGTGTGCCTTTCTTGTTGACTTCCCTTCCTGACACAACGCGTTCCTCGTATATTTGGCTGCCTTGCTTTGACTGCCTGTACTTCATCTGTTCTGCAATGAATTTTTCCATCATGCTTGTGTGTTTGTGTTTTCACAGATGAAGACAGTGAGTGTGGCACTAGTGTTGTGTTTGAATGTTGGAGTGGACCCCCCAGATGTCATCAAACCATCACCTTGTGCCAGACAGGAGTGTTGGATCGGTAAGACATCATACAATCTTGTCAGATTGAATACTGATTTTTTCACAGTACTTTTATGTTTGTAGTTTTTGCAGTCACTTCAGAAATCTGAACCGTGAATTTGTAATTACTGTGAACAAATAATTCGCCGCGAAACATGTCCTTTTTTCTTAGTGTTTGTTGCCACTGACTTTTCAAATTAAAAAGGCAAATAGTCATAGTCAATGCATACAGGTGTTATTTGCCTGCAAAATATACAAGGTAGTTCTATATAGTTATTTATTGTTTTGTTGAAAAACAAAATTTCGCCATGATATGATGGTGCTGAGAAGAGGGTCACTTGGTAGTGGCAGCTCATGCCCAGAAAAATACTGCTACATACGTAAGAACATAAAGCTTTACAAAATTTTGGCCTCTGAGTGTTTGTTTTGTAGAAAACTGACCCGAGGATAGCAACGTCAACACCACTGTCGTCTGCATTTCCCATGATTCCCATGGGACAGCAGTGATTGCGTAAGCTGGGTTTTCAGTGGAAACGCAGACTGATTGCGTTCGATACATCCCTCTTCACATGAGACGAGAAGTACACACAATCACAATTTTACATTCAAAAGAAAGCTGAAATATCTTAGAATTTCTTTCTTATTTCTGTTAACACCAAGTTCTGAAGACAGCTTAACTACAAAAACGTTCGAAGTTAGGACACACTGTCTAGTGTCGGCCATTCACGAAGATACATTCACGAAAACATCTCACAGCATTTGCCGCTTGTAACATGGAGGGTGAAGGGCTCATGAACAGTATGGGTGCATTTCATGTTCTCTACACAAATGTTTGAAAAATTTATTCACCAAAACCTGATCACTCTCTGACAACTAGCAATAGACCGCCACGAGCTTGAGCATTTGAAAACGGCCTCTATACTTTAACACAGGCAACAAAACAGCTGTTTCTATATATAATGTATAATTAACGACCAAAATCCGTATCTGCTTGAAGGAATGTCCCCCCACTCGATTCAAAGCAACGGTGTATACCAACTGACCACAATACTCCTGCAGAAACTTAAGGTTTCTTGAAAGTGTGTAGACAATGTTTGCGCAATATTCGCCTCCCTTGAGATGACCACTCTGAGTCACCTCCTGTCTTTGCTCTTGCATTACTTCGTTCCCCTTTGAAATTCTTGGAAAGCTCCCTGGTCACTATAACCAGTTCCTGCCACATCACTCCTCACGGCAAACCATCACTGTTTGCTGGGACTCAGATAATTAACATTGCTTAACAATTGTTAGTTACTATTAGTAAGCTAACTGCAGTTTGACAGTCATGACAAACTTGATGTGCATATTTACATCTAATGTGTTGGTGAAACAAACAGGAGCGAGTAGAAACTGTGAAAACCCCAGACTCCCGGGACGCCGGGAATCAAACCCGCATCAAACCCGGACAGCCAGCTCATGACACCAGCACGCTCACTACTATGCTATTGGAATGGATCAGTTAGCAGTGCTTGAACATCACTGTTACATTGGAACTAAGTAGTGCATGTAGCTTTCTATTATCCTCACTATCCTCACATGTAGATGATGATATATTTTTTGTCCAGATCCATTGTCCATGAGCCCACAGAAGGCCTTGGAAGCCATCGGAGCCAACCTACAGAAGCAGTACGAACGCTGGCAGCCCCGGGTACGTGTCCGACTTACCAGGGAGTCATGTTAGTAATGGACCGTTCCAGATCGAACGCATTGAATCCTTTTTCGAATCCCTGTTCTATTTCAAACACCTCCGTCAAACTCAGCGCGGGAAATCTAAAAGCAGCAAACTGAGTTGATGTCTGCTTGATAAAAACTGCTTGTTTTACATGTGAAACTGAATTTGTGACATTGCATGCACTTTCAAGTTGATTAAGGACGTTCTGTTATTCTTCCATTTGTCCATAAGCTATCATAATTATTGTTCATGTCCATGTTTGCGAGCTTATTTTTCTACTTGTACCACAAATCCCTTTATAAGTTGCGCCCTCCCTCGTGAGTCCCCGTGAGTTTTTATTTCCCATTTCGTTTTTTTCCAAAGCTTGTATGCAGCTGTGATGCATGCAGCAAATGCCGTGGAAAACCTGTTGCCTATAAACGTACTCTGTTTCACACATGTATTGGCTGTTAGTCAGCGACCGGGCACTCTTGTCCACCTACCGTGTGATGTTATGCGGCCAATCCCACGTCTGTATTGAGCGAAAACAATTTGCTCTCACTGAAACTACCTCTGTCCCCTCCTAAAATAATTCTAGTCTGCGGATGTACCATTCAACAAATATACCTTAACCAATTTTTTTGTCTCCTGCGAGAGTTTTTCGCTGCCCAAAAATCGACCATAAAGTTGGGCTGCAAATCGGACATTCTGGCGCAGCAGTCGGTATGGCCCTTCTCGCGCTGATTTTGACGGAGGTGTTCGAGTTGCTAGGGCGTTGCTAAGGGGGGCGTGGCTTATGGAACGGTCCATTTAGATCAACTGACAAATGAATGTGGTCTATGTGGTCAGCCAAACGCCACCCCTATGTTGGGTTGGTTCAGTCCGCTCATGCGGACATGCGCACATGTATCTGTCCGCCATTGTAGTTCTCCTGGAATGTTGTAATAAAGCGTCTCCTCCCATCTCGCGTCCGTTCCTGTCCTTGAGTCGTCGACTGCGCGCCATTATGGCGTGGTGGCAGCGTCGGGTCTTCAAGAACCCACACAAGCACCAAGAAGATTGGATGCCGCGCCATTTCTCAACAAACGCGCTCGAAAGACGTCCGGGAATAGCAACAAATAGCGAAACATGTGGGAACGAGAGCACACTAGCAACATCCGGGAACTTGCGGTCCACCCATTCTCCAAGGTTTGCAGGAAAAACCTCCCCAAGTAACCAACAAGAACATCAACAGCGGGTCAAACAAGATCGTACCCGACGACGGCAGGGCCAACAAGGCAAGAAGATCTGCCAACGATGTCAACACTAATGGGGATCGTAATAAACAAACAATAAACAAACAAACAAACAAGCCGGGCGGGAAGTGTGCGACCATGTCCTGAGTGCATGCCCATACTTGCCCGAGACTACGTATGAGTGACGTCCTGCCCACGTGCACGCCGACAAACTCCCCCAAGCCGCGGAGGCTAAAGGAGTCAGTGTTCGAGCTTCACCACACCTTGATGTCCGCCACGAGGGACAGACAGTTAGAATCATCTTGGACTCGGGAGCCGAATCGAGCATGATTCGAGTGGAGGAGGCAGAACGACTGAACTTGTCAGTGCATGCATCGCCATACGTCTCAAGCCTCACACCAACCCAAGCAGATGGGCGGCGACTCTCCGTCATAGGTGAGTGCACTACAACGCTGTACTGGAAGAAGATACCTCTTCAGTTCGATGCAATCGTAGTAAACGACCTAGCCGACCCGATTGTCGCCGGTTTTCCCTTCCTTGAGGCCAACGGTTTGATCATTAACTTTAGTAAACGTCAGATCCACCTTCCTGACGGTTCCACCTCGGCATATTCCCTATCCACCAAACAGTCGAAACCGTGCATACATAGCGTCTCCTACAACAATATTACATGTCTCAGACGCGTACCAGATCATCTCAAATCGCCTAGTCAAGTACCCAGGATTATGCACATGCTCCATGCATCCCCTAAGACCAGCCCTCCTGTTACGGAGAAGCGAGTGAAAACAACACTGCCTGCCTACTCTGCCAAGCTCAGATCAGCTACCAAACATGTGCAGGACACCTATCAACCTTCCTGCACAACACAAGCAGACGTCGTCCCACATGTGAAGGAAGAAGACCAACCTTCCTCCACAACACAAGCAGATGTCGTCCCACGTGTGAAGGAAGAAGACCAACCTTCCTCCACAACACAAGCAGACGTCATTGCACATGTGCAGGAAGAAAGCCAACCTTCCTCCACAAGAGAAGCAGACATCACCGCACATGTGAAGGAAGAAAGCCATCCTTCCTCCACAAGAGAAGCAGACATCACCGCACATGTGAAGGAAGAAAGCCAACTTCCCCCACAAGAGAAGCAGTCGTTGCCACACATGTGAAGGAAGAATACCAACCCCCTCAACCGCCAGCAGAAACTGACTCATCACAGGTGGAGAGAGAGAACCAGCCCTTCCCACCTTCAGCAGAAGCCGACACACAGCAGGTGAGGAGAGACAACCAGCCTCCTCAACCTCCAGCAGAAGCTGACTCAACACAGGTGAAGACAGATTACCAGCCTTCTCCACCTCCAGCAGAGGCAGCTACAACACAGGTGAAGACAGAGCACCAACCACCTTCAGCAGAAGCTGACAGAACACAGGTGGAGAGACAGCACCAGTCTTCTCCACCCTCAGCAGAAGCAGACACAACACACGTGAAGGGAGACTACCAGTCTTCTCCACCCTCAGCAGAAGCTGACACAACACACGTGAAGGGAGACTACCAGTCTTCTCCACCCTCAGCAGAAGCTGACACAACACACATGAAGGGAGAGTACCAGTCTTCTCCACCCTCAGCAGAAGCTGACACAACACACGTGAAGGGAGAGTACCAGTCTTCTCCACCCTCAGCAGAAGCTGACACAACTCACGTAAAGGGAGAGTACCAGCCTTCTCCACCCTCAGTAGAAGCTGACACAACTCACGTGAAGGGAGAGTACCAGCCCTCTCCACCCTCAGCAGTCGCTAACACACCACACGTGCTGGAGGAATGCCAGAGCCCACCTGATCCTCCAGAGCATCAACACCTACCTGTTCCACCTGTGTGTCATCACCCACCCGACCGACCTCCACCTGAGCCACCTCCAACTGTTTGAGACAACTGCAGTCCCAGAATACCACGGACTTGAACATTATGGCACCAACAGATTGCCCCAGCCACTCTGTCTCAGTATACAATGTACCTGGTCATCCTCAACAACCATCACTCCAGTTACCTGAACTTTCTTCTGGCCTGAAAGACTTAATATCCATTTACACTAATTTACCTCACAGTGCTAAAATACCCACCCTGCTGGACTGACTTGAACTGAAGGTAACCTTCTAGTCTTCAACCCTAATCTTGAAATGAAAAATTCACTAAAGCATGCCATTTTTATATAAAGAGAGAAGAAAGAAATACAATTGCCACATAATCACAGTGTTTACTATTCTATTGTAAGTTACCACAGTTTAAGGTCAGTAAGTGATTATACAATCATGTACTTTATTGTTGATGGATGATGTTTTCTGGAATCACCATATACTACTGCTCAGTTACTTACAAATGTTAAATGAAGAAGGAAAGAAATGAAGAAGTGGAAGATTGTAACAGGTCACACTACTGCCATGTTTTCAAAACCTGATTTATTGCCTTAGTCAAAATTGTAGCTTGGTTCTAAAGGAAAATAAGACTCTTGTTATACCACGTCAAAGACTATTTTACCCTCCCTGAAAAACTTGAATCAGAATATTCAGAAGTCTAACAGAAGTAGACAAAGAAGATATCCAGTTCTTCTAGTTGACCATGTTATATTACCCATTATTTGTTACAGTTGCCATTTATTATATGATGCTAATATGTTAGTTATTGAAACCAAGAAGGAAAAGACCACGCTCATCGAGAACACAATAGTTTGTTATGGATAATGCTTTACAAAGAAAAACTATGTTGGTCACAGACTGTATCTGTATACTCAGTTGTTACTGTACGGATTTCTGTTAGAAGTTAGGGGAGACGGTGTTCCTTTAGTAGTTTACCATTTTTTACTCGTTACTTTAAAGAAAGAAACAAAACAGGGAATCCTAGAAATTATTCTCTTAGGAGAGAGGAAAGAAAGAAGAGATCACGCCACCCCTATGTTGGGTTGGTTCGGTCCGCTCATGCGGACATGCGCACATGTATCTGTCCGCCATTGTAGTTCTCCTGGAATGTTGTAATAAAGCGTCTCCTCCCATCTCGCGTCCGTTCCTGTCCTTGAGTCGTCGACTGCGCGCCATTATGGCGAAAAGGCCACGTCAAGATTCGATGGAGTTTTCTTTGTGAGAGAAAGCAGTCCGTCCTATGACTCTGAGCGTCAGGCGACACCCCTTACAAGAAAGCTCATCACTGCAAAAGTCAACCACGCTGACTTCACTGTGAAGTCTTCTCTACCTCAGAATTTAGCTGCAAACAAATACTACAAATATCTACTTCTTCCCCTTACCCATTATCCTAAAATAAAAGTCTATGAAAGTGGATGCTTTTTACCCTCCATGTAAATGGGGGGTACTGTTTTTACTCCGTTTCATGTTTGGTCTGATACCTGAAGATCGGTGAGAAGGAACTGTATGATATTTGGCAGATTGATGGATGGGGCCTTGGAGATTGTGTAGGTTGACTTTGAGCACCTGGTGATTGACCTTGGTACTGCAGTTTAATTTTTTTATTCTATTGTTGGCACGTTATGGTCTGTGTGTGCAATGCTAAGGTAGCATGTAGTTGTGGTTACAATGGTTTAGTGATGTAAATTTGGGCCCCCTAGCTGTTTGCTTTGAACCGGAATCTCAATGTCAGATTGTTTGCGTTGAATGATCTCAGAACCCGGTGGATGGTTGGCGATCATTTTTGGTATGTGGGTAGACGCTGATTGTCTTTGCGTTTTAGCGTGCTTTAGCAGGTTGTCGTAGATTTGCATTGCTTATTTAAAAGGATTTTCACATTTTCACCCCTATTTCATAATAGGATGGTCTGTTTGACCCCAAATTGGTACAGAGTGTTTTTGTTTATACCTCCAGCTGGCAGGTCAGGCCAATCTATTTTTACCCCGCCACGTCTGCAGGAAATATATCTTATCTTTAATCGGTCATTCAGCAGGGAACTGGGTCATCTGTGGTTTGTTAATATGTAACAATGTGCTTGAGAGGTCATTGACCTCAAACAAACCATGGTAACAAGACACTAAACGCCTGCACATGACAGCTTGGGCAACCCCTTCCAATACGAAGTGCCACAACAAAATTCTTAAAGGATAGACATCTATAGACATCTATCATTCTGCTGATAAAAACAAAGTTTGACTCATAATATCTCTATTAAAATACACCAAAAGATTACAAAATAACAAGCTATTTCATGGAGGGACGATGTCTACGACTTCTCCTTGTTTTCTTTTATGTCTTCCTAGATCCTCAAGAACCAACATGACATAAATTGTACAGTATGATTGTACAGTAACTGTACATGTAACAGGGGATGCCCTAATTTCGCACGTGCCCTAACTTTGCACAGAATTTTGTCTTGCCAGCTGTTTTATTTCTGCGACCTGAGCTGACTTGAGATGTTGATAGTGGCAGCTGGAGGAGTATAGAGGAGTATAGACTTAGAGTAATGCACGTAGCCTTCCATTTCTGCTGGTGCAGGTGATGGCCTCAGTAATAGAATCATGACTTTTGTAGAAGGCATTGTATGTTTGTGTGCACCACTGAAATTTCTGTCATTCATTCACATTTAAGTCAGTCTCGTGTCTGAAATTGTAATCAATGATTGTGTGAACTTTCTATGTTATGTCATGTTTTATGATAATAATTATATGACAACTTTTTTATACTTGTGCTTGCACAGGCCAGATACAAGCAGAGTTTGGACCCAACTGTGGAAGAAGTGAAGAAGCTGTGTTCATCTCTCCGAAGAAATGCAAAAGTTTGTAATTTATTTTATAATAGAAAAGTTTATTGCAAATTTGTGCCCGGAGGCAAATTGCAAATAACAAAACATAAAAAAGAATATTGCAACAGAGTATAAAATAACTTAAATCATGAAGGTAGAACTACAGTACAGCTTGCGTTAGAATTAACGGGTGACGCGATCACGAGGTAACGCTAACGCGGCGATCACGTAACGCTAACGCAGCGATTACGAAGTGATGACGCGATGACGCAAATAGAGAAGGAAAAAATAAGTGCTTCGATAGTTCAAAACACGTTTAAAAGTCCTGCAATTCTCGTGCACCGTACAATATGCTTGTAACGGAGTTTGGATGTTTCGGGCGGAACCCGCGTTTGACGTATCAATTTTTCGGCGGTTCACTTTCAAGATACCCCATTTTGTCAAGCTTGAACGCATCTAATTCCAGGTCATTGAACCCGCCAGTTACGCACCGCCCGCGCACTTGGTACACCTCACGGGGCACAAAAATACCATGGCCAAAGTGGACTGTAATTTGTTTACTACAAAGTCGCGTAGTATGCGCCAGTGTTTCTCGCACCTTTGAGACTTTGGGGCTAAAATTATATTTTTCTTACATAAAAGAGCGTCAAGACTGGCCGGTTATATTTTGCTCAGACTGCACGCTGTCAATTTGTACTACGTGGTCCCTTAATTTTTTTTTAATATCGGAAAATCTGGTGGCTTAATAAGGTACAGAACGATAGCAAAGTAATACAACCTTCTTGAACAATTTTTGTGTCCGACCTTGCGACGTGGACGGCTTTTGATGTCACCCGACCCGCGCTATCTCAGATCTAATTAAAATCTAACACATCCACGTGCCATATTGCCACTCAAGAAGTTCTTTATTTTTTGACGTACGGAGAACAAGGGGGCGAAGCATAATTCAAGGGTTCTTTACGCCTCAAATTTTGATACATTTCGTGAGCCACGCAGTGTTGAGGGCCTGCTTGGAGGGTAGTGATTACCGAATTACGCAAAATTTTCACTATAAAGTTAAAGTTTCAGAGCTCATTACGACTTAACGCTTTGTGGCTAATGTACGAATTACGTTGATTTTTGGGAAGGCTGTCTACGGTGTACGAAGACTATTAAATAAAGAAAAGGCCTGATTTAATACGCCTTACGAAACCGGGCATGCAGGCCCCCAGTGTTGGGCCGGGCGTTCCCACGCCGTGTCGCCATAGAAACCGCACGTAGACAGCAGTGAGCAGTGGCGCTGGTAGACTCCCCGGCGCCGACAGACCACGTGGCGTTCTGGCGCGCCAATCACAGCGCACAGACGGGGACCCGCCCACCAGCCAGGCCGCAAAGAGTGGTGTTGTGAGTCAGATGCGCCGCCCAGCCAGAGACACCGCCTGACGATTTGTATATTTTGCCGCCCTGCAGCTGCACGGACGGCATCCATTGTGCAAATAATTTGTCGAAAACTCCCCAAATTACGTTAGAAATTTATAGTTGACAGAAATATCCCTCTAGTGCGTATATTTTTTACGAATGTTTGCGTTTTTGTCCCAGTTCACGCTCAAATACACCGCATCATTTTCGGCAATGTTTCCACC